TTTTTTTTTTTTTCCTTTGTACACAAACCAGGCCAGACATTCTGGGGATCCTCAACTATTATCTCATGGATGCAGCATCTGTTTTGCCTGTTTTGGCACTTAACATTCAACCTAATGACTTTGTCCTTGACCTCTGTGCAGCTCCAGGTGGCAAGACTCTGGCTATCCTGCAGACGGGGTTTTGTGGTAAGTAAGGGCATTAATCCCCACCGTTCAGCCTGGTACTGCTGTGTAAAACTGGGATGAGAGAGTTTGCTGTGGTAACTCCTCCCATCCCCGGATAATATGAGAGCTACACTGGGGGCAATAAGGAATGATTCTCTGGGAATTATTTTGATGTGGATCTTTGCAAACTTGGTGTATTTCATCCTAGCAGAACAGGGTTGTGACTCTGGTGATGATGCAGTTCCTGACTCAGTGCCTGTCCAGAAACAGGGGTGGGGAGAAAGGCATTTCTTTCTATCTTTCTTTCTTTCTTTCTTTCACATAGAGCTGGGGACTCCTGTTGCTTCAGTGCTAGGATGTAGAGAGAGATGAAAGCTTTTGCCTTTTGCCGGAAGCTTTTTTCTGTTTTTTTTGGGGAGAAAGGCAATGTATAGCTTTGGTGTAGCTTTTGTACCTGCAGTGTTCACTGCACCTACCCAAGTTTGGCAACCTCTCGTCTGCAATATATGTTTATTCCCCAGGAAATGCCCATCTGGCCATTAATCCTTTGTGATCATAAGAGGTAGGAGTCAGATGTAGTATTTTCAGAGTGAATTTCTCAGTGTGCCATTTTGTTTCTCTCACCTCAGGGCACCTGGCAGCCAATGATGTCTCTATTTCTCGCACAAGGAGGCTGCACCAGATTCTCAATAGCTATGTTCCCAAGCAAATCAGGGAAGCTGTGTGCGTCACTTCATGGGACGGAAGGAACTGGGGGGAACTGGAAGGTGGAACTTTCCATAAGGTAGGTAACCAAGAACAGGAAGATAAGCCTGCTGAGTTCAGTTCCTCCTTTTTCAGAGGAAGACAGTAGCTTGTCCGACACTGTAGCTGGGTCGGCCCAGCTCTCTGTAGTCTGACACGCACAGAAAGAGGTAAGGCTAAGCCATATGTAGAGTAATGTTTCCTCTAGCTACGCTTGCCTACTTCCTGTAGGATCTGGAGTAGGGCCATGCTAAGTTTTACCTGTATCTACTTGTATAATAGCCCTTAAAAGAACCCTTCCTAATTTATAGCATGCAAGGGCTTAAATTTGAGGCTTAGATACTTGAGGCTTTCTTGTCACCCACTCCCAGGCCCCGGATTCTTGCCTCTGTCAGTCAGGAGTGTGTTGGTGTTCCAGCTGTGTTTGCACATAACAGTTTGTTTTGCTTGTGAGAGGTGATTTTGTTGCTCCAGGAGGTGGTTAAGCTTTGGCCGTGCATAACTGTATCCATATGGGTAACTGCCACAGTAGGCAAGTATCAACAAGATGCACTGAGTGGAAACTTTAAATGAGGATATGTGTGAGAATGTGAAATTATTCAGCACTTTTGTGTCTGTTTGCTCATCCAGGAGACTCAGAAGCAGCCAAACAAATAACGATTCAGTGCAGGTATATACCTGCATTCTGTCAGTATGATGAGCTAGGCAAAGTATAAAGAGCTGCATTAATCTAGCTTGTGTGTGGCAAGGGCGGAGGAGCTAGGTGAAAAAAAGGTTGTGACAGGAGATTTTCTGAGCTTGAACTGGGCATAGGGTCTGTTGCCGGATCTCTGCTGCTGCAGGTCCTTGTGGATGTTCCCTGCACGACTGACAGGCACTCCGTCATGGAGGAGGAGAACAACATCTTCAACAAAAGGAGATCCAAGGAGCGTCAGATGTTGCCAATGCTGCAGTTACAGCTGCTAGTGTGAGTGAAGTTAAAGCTATGCCATGCTGCCATTTGTGTTTTTATGAGAGCAGCTCTGTGGGTGCCCAGCACTGAAACCGCTTATCTCGTTACGTGTGCCTGTATGAGAGCTCAGGCTCCTACTGCTAAATGTGGAAAATGCATGCAGTTTTTGGAACTGCAGTAGTTGCACATACTAAACCACAAGGAACGTAAGAAGGTAAAAGCGTGCTTGGTCAGACCAAACGTCCTTGCTCTCTCCAGCAGTGACCACGAGGAGGTAATAAGGAGAGTTTAAGAAAGAGAATGGATATAGCAATGTCCTTTCTTAGGATGATCTCCCAGGTCCTGGCAGTCAGCCGTGGAGGATTCCTGAGCTCTCCGCATCTCGTCACAGCAACACCGGGCATGAGGGAGCTTCATTACCCCTGTTTCACTAGGGAGGCTATGACTATGAAATGTGGCAATAACAAAGCAGAGCTTAGTTAAAGCACTGTGATGGAATTCTCTACCAGAGCCTCTTGCTCTGTATTTACTCTTATCCCACTCACTTGGAGGTGACTGTAAGATTATTCCTTTCAACTACTTTGCAGTAGTGATTCTCCCATTTTTAATGTTTTATCGATCTAAGCATTTTTCTCACCCGCGTTGCTGTGGTCTAAAACAGTCCTGAAACTGCAGGAAGTTTGTGAGGCTGCTGAGTCTGCAGAGGTCAAGGAGGCTTGTCTCTTTCCATCTCTTAGGAGTTAAGGCCTGGCTTCCTAATTTCAGAGGGCAGAAATGCTGGTGTTCCACTACAATCCTTTTCTTGTTGTGATAGTATGTTTTCATTTTGCCTGTAGGGCTGGGATCCTTGCTACCAAGCCAGGAGGAGAAGTTGTGTATTCTTCGTGCTCCCTCTCTCAGCTGCAGAATGAATATGTGATCGAGAGAGCCGTAGAAATTGCAGAAACTGAATTTAACATTGGTACCCATGTCGAGGACTTGAGCCACTTCCGGACCCTCTTCCAGGATACGTTTTCTTTCTCCTCAGACTGCAGGCTGGGGGAGCTTGTTCTTCCTCACCTTACCGCCAACTTTGGACCTATGTATTTCTGCAAATTACGTCGAGCGTAGAGGGAATGACAGACCTCTTGGCTCTGTGGCAGCTTCAGTTTCCCCACTGTACCTTCCTGGGCCATCTTGAATGGAACTGATCTTGCTTCCCTGCTGCTGGCTATAATGAAGTACCCCAAGTTTCTAGGGAAAGCAAAACTGCTTTGTATTTATTTTTCTTTTTAAAATGTCCTAAATGAAACCTGCTCTTTACTGCAGGCATTGAGAATAAATGAGAAAGACCTACCATGGAATCTCCTACTCATTTATTTGTTTAAGACTGAGGTGTTTAATCTTGGAAGGCGAGAGAGGGCCTATCAGGGAGAGCAGTCCATCCCGTCTGTCTCAGCATGGGCTAAATTGCCCTGTGCAGATGTTGTTCTCTCCCTGCTGTCTGTTTTGATCCTGAAGGAGCAGGTTCATAAATACCATCTGGGGATCCTAGACTTTCTGGCCCATATTTCACTATCTGCAAAGTTGAGTTGCAACTCTCCGCTTATCTCACTTCTTTGCATTTTTAGAAGAAGCAACCTGAAGTTCTTGAAGAAGAGGTTCATAAGAAATCTGCCGCAGTGGAGGTGCAAATATCCTTGTGATGCTTGAGATCTGCTAATGGAACGAGCTCAGTGCTGTGGAAAGGCGAGTGATTATTGCTATCTCTCATAGGCAGGAAAGCAGTGACAAAGGGAGAGGGTGTGAACAGGCCCACACGTGCTAGATACTATTTCATTTGCAGCGGGAAGGTGTTCCTATGACTTTGCAGTACCTGTGCACCCACATAATCGAACCCATCAGTGAATAGTAAATGATAGATTACTGGAGCTTATGATAAGATTTGCTTAATATCTACATTTTTATTTTTGAGCCAAATATGGTGGGGCAGGCGTGGCTGTATTCATGCAAATATGCTATCACCTGTAATGCTTTTAGAATAGCCCACAGTCGCATCTGTATGAAGTTAGTCCAGTGTGCCAGCAAGAAAATTCTACTAAGCTTTAAGGATGTTTTCCTATCTCAGCATTGCCATGCTTCTGCAAGACACACGACATAGATGAAAATGAGGGTGAAATTGCCATCCATGTCTATTCTTCCAGGAAGCTGGCACGTCATAATTTACGACCGTTTGAACCCAACATAAGCCGGCATTGCCCTCTGCATCACATCCTGGGCCAAGATGGGCATTAATCTGGCTGCACAGGGTACTGGGTCAGGGAACACTGCATTAATGCAGTAGAAGGAACTGATTGTTTTCAGCCAGATCAGTTTGCTGCTGCAAAGTAGGGGAGAATTGAGAACGAGCAGCAGGATGTGATTACAGAATGATTTGTGAAGCTGCAATGTCAGTCTGGAACCCATAGGCATTGTGTGAATATTTCTTCAAAGGAAGAAGGCAGTGCAGCCAAGGCAGGGATTCTTTTTAGCAGAAGGGTTTGGTGGTGTGAAGAGTTTGCATGGTGATGTTCTGGAGAAATTATTTTGATATTTGCTTGGTCTCTGTCTCAGCCACTGAAATGTTTAGACATAAATCCAGCAGCATCCTAGCAAAGATGGAGGAAATTAGGCAGATTTATAATGCTTTTAATGGCTAATGAGGAAACCCACTGTGTCCCTTCCAGGTTATGTGTTTATTGGCAAGGAGGAGGAGAGTCAAGTGTTGTTCCTTTCTCCTTCCCTCCTTGCTGCAATTTATGCATTTCAGATCAGAACTGGGGAGAAGTCACAGAGCACTGTTGTATCTGCATCTTGGCTGTCTGTGGCCCTGCAGATGCAGGATTGGAGAGGCTATATTGCTGTCTTCTCACGGCTAAGTGTCTCCACCTCCTTCATGAACCGGAGGCACAGCTCCTCCTGCCATGGCAAAGCCACGCACTGCACAGCCACGGGCAGTCCCACAGCTCCTTCCACAGCCTGCAGTGGGGACACAAGCAATGAGGTGTTACCCACAGGAGCTCAGACCTCTAAGATTTTTGGAAGCTTGGCTGAGCCTTGTGGCTAGTTAGTCCCTTCTTACCCAAGGGCTCATTCTGGAGAGCAGGGAGGTTGGAGGCTGAGCCCTGTTGTTCAAGCAGGGGCAGGCTTCATCTCTAAATCTAAAGCGCGCTGAGGCAGACAGAAGGCGGTTTTCGTGATGGAAATGATGGCCAAGTCTTGGGTAGCATGTGTGAGGTCAGTCCTCCCCCAGTCAGCTCTGCTTTGAGCTGTCTTGCTATGAAATCCCTTTTCCATTAGGATCTTTGTGCCTGATCTGTGCTCTGCTGACTGCCTGGGCCTGGCAGAGCAGGTCGTGGAGCAGGAGAGAATTGCAGTGCACTACTGCAGGCTGTGGCTATCAGAAGAACCTACTCAAGGAAGCTTTGCTCCATGGCTTCTTCCTCGTTGCAGACTAAAATCCTGCTCTTGGGTGCCCCCCTGACCCTCTCTGATGTTTGCTGACTTGTGACCTTTGGGGCTTGGAAGAAAAGGGATTTGTGAGGCATATATAAAGCAGAGGTGCTTTTTTTTTTTTTTTTTTTGAAGCTGTGCCTGTATTGATGGAGGCATTTAGGAACCCCTTATTTCAGTGAGACTATTACTCTGAACACCCCTGCCAGCAGCCTCTGCTCCTTTCCTTTCCGTATCACAGACCTGCTTCAGTGTCCTGTCCCAGGGGTCATCACAGTATCCTCGATAAAGCTTCAGCTCTTCTTCATCAGCTTCTGTCACGGTGCTGACGGGTACAACCCCAGCAGGGAAGTTCAAGACATTGTACAACATCGTGGAGGAGATGGCAGCTGAGAGAAGCAAAAGAAAGACTGCAGGTAGCCACAGCCACCTATATTCTTTCAAACTTCAAGCATGTTCCTTAAGCCCCCTGAGAACTAGCCACTTCTGGGAGGAGATACCCCAGAGGGATGGTTGTGTGTGAGTCCAAGTCCCACTGCACAAAACAACTGTCACCAAATTACTTGATCTACGTGTCTGTCACCGTCTGCCAGTAACACCCATAAAATGCTTAGGTAAGCAATAAAGCTCCCCAGCTGCCCCTACAGTGGGATGCTTCTGTCCAGTCACAGCCACAGCGGTCTTCTCCCCTCCTGGTGAAGCCTCAGATTCACTTACTTAGGAGTTTACCGGGGTACCCCGTAGTGAAGGCTGGACCCAGGACAGGGCAAAGAATGACATCCATCTTGAGTTCCCTCCACCTGGCGATGAACTCTGTGCGGTACACCTTGGGGAGGAGAGCAGAGATGACATGGAGGGCACGTCAAAACCTGGAGCGTCTCCGCTTCTTTGGGCTGTGCACCAGGCTCTCGCATGCCTGGGGGAGGCAGCAGCAGGCAGATGAGTGCGTGAGGGGAAGAGGCAGGGCAAAGGCAGCACCTGGTTACAGCATTTGTCTGCATGATGGAGGAAGTTTTCCATGATCACAATGCTACCAGGGAAGGTGGGGAGGTCAGCAAATGTCCCTGCCCTAAAGGCTACGTACAGAGCCTCTATGGCCCAAGTTATTGTGGTCGCTTGCTGCTGATTTCTCTAAAGCAGGACCTGCACTAAAAGCCTGTGTGCAAATGCCCTTCCCTGCAACACAAGGACAAACCATGGTTAAATGGCTCAAGAGTGAGAAGTTGGTAAGAAAGACCCCTCTTCAGCAGGGGTCCATGGAGCATAGGCATTTGGCCATGAGCAATGGGTAACCCATAAAGACCATCCTGGGTTGACCAAAAAGCCCAGCTAGCCCAGTCTTGCCTCTTGTTTGTGCCTTTCCTTCCGTCTCTCCTCCTCAGTATTCCGCTGCACACCCCCTTTCTTAAATAGTGATCCCCAAAATCCTCTCATAGCATGATGCTGGAGAGAAGAGTCCTCAAAACATACCATTATTTGATGCTGATGCTTCCACATCTCCTTCACTGACCTGCAAATGGAAACCACAGTAACATTTTTAAATTTTAAGAGGAAGGGATGGCTGCTTAAATTATGCTCCGAGTTGATAAGCCCCAGTGATTTTAGCAGTTATTCAAAAGAGTGCATCTCTCTCAAGTTCTCTAAAGTTTCTTTTGGGATTTGGGCAACTGTCTGGGAGAGGTAGAAAGGTTTCTCTTGTGAGGCTGGGTTTAATACTCAGCTCTGCTGCAAGCTTACTCTACGACCTTATCTAAGTCCCTTAATCCCTTGTGGATCCCAAACTGGCTACAAGAGGGAAGGGCTTGTATCAGACTGCCTGAGGCAGTTGCAAAACAGACACACCTTTGGCATGTTGAAGGAACAAGAAGGCTGCAGCCTCTGAGAGAGCTGGAGAGAAAACTCGTTTGTGCTGGAGGGTATCTGGATTCTTCATCAGTATCTTTACTGCTAGTTCCTCTTTGTAGAGGATATTGAAGATGGGATGTGGTGGATATGTCATCTAATTATTCATTACATAAAACTTGGCTTTAGCTTTGAAAGTGATTTTCTTAAATATTTTGTAGCTTGTCTCAGGCCCTGTGATCTAATATGGGGAATCACCAAAAATAGGGCTGACAGAAACCATCAGAGGCCATCAGAATGTTTTCCATTCCCCACCCAAGGTGGGCCCGGTGGGTCTAAACCATCACTGACAAGTGTGCATCTGGTTCCTGGGACACTGCAGTGTCCCCCGGGGATCCTCTCCCAGAGGGAATGCTTCCTGATGTTCCCTGGCTGTAATGTTAAGCCTTTGACTTTTGTGTCCTGGTACTGGGAGATGCAGGACACAGTTTATTGCTTCTCACCTTGCAGCAGCCCAGAGCATGTTTAAAGACCTGTGGGAAGGCATGATAATACTAGAGGAGTGGGGAGAGGTATACCCAAAGGCTAAAGTGTAGTCCAGGACAGAGGGACAGCCCCTCCAGAAAATGGGTCAGAGTATGTCTTGAAGCCACTGTCCCCCACCCCACCATGGGTACCTAACTGCAGAAGGTACAGGTCATTTCTACAACCCCCCTCTCCCCCCCTTTCCTAGCAGGCGGCTGAGGAAGGTGCTGTCTTACCTCATTCCACACAAGGCACTCAGATAGTCAGCCAGGCGGGGAAACTGAAAAGAGAGAGTCCTGTTAGGGTCAGGATGTGGAGTGCAGCAACTTGTGTCGTCTTGGGAGACTTCCAGTTGCAGCCCATCTCTGTCCCTGGGGATGCTGCTCTGACAGTGAATGAAATTGCTTTAAAGTCTTCCTCATACTTCTCATTCTAGTTTGTTTCTGACTCGGTTGTTGGTTCCTGATCGGCTTCCTGCAGCCCAATATTTCCTTCTCACA